CAGTCCAGGCTGTTCAGGGCTTTATCCAGTCAGATTTTCTTCATTTTTAACTGATGACCATCTTTTATACCAGAAATTCTTGCTAACAGTACCAAGTTCTTGCTAACAGCACTGACTTTCACTTTTGTACTGTCAAAACACTTTCATTTCTCTTTCTCTATTTCCGTTTTCTTGCAGTGTTCCAGAAGGCATCTCAGTCTTGCCTCTGTCATGCATGTCCAGCTTCAAATTCTCTTTGAAGCAAAGTACAATTTTTAAAACAAACAAAAAAACCCACACCAATCTTCACCCCCAAAAAGTCACCAGTGATAAACTCAGCATAGGTCTTGATAAATTGCTTGTTAAGTTCTTAAGCTTGCTGAGTTTTAATTTCCAACCATGTATCTTACCATTTCTTCAATTGATGGATGGAAGAGACTTCAGGAAGCGATTTCCCATGCCCTCTTTGAAAACATAAATTAATGTTTAGTGAATATTGCAGTGTATTATGTTTTAGAAGCAGAAATTCTCCATTAGGTCACCACTCACAGGGAAGCAAGTTCATAGGTATGAGTAGAGGGCAAGACACCTCCACCAGGCTGTAGCTGAAGTGTGGTAACTCAGCAAGGCATTTCTGGAGCTCTCATTCACACTTAATGAACTTGTCTAGTAAAAGCAAATCACTGCAACAGAGATGACTATCACTGCCAAAAATGTCAACAACCAGTAAGCACACAGGCAAAAAGTACCAGGATGAGGAGCGGTTTGAAGAGAAAGATTCGTAAGAGAAGTCAGCAGGACTAAATGCAGATGGTACAGCTTGGCTCAGTGACATCTTAGAGAGGCTGATCAACAGCTTCATCTGCTTTTTGCAATTGTATGGGTTAAACAGTCTCCCTGTGACAGGATCAGACCAAAATAGTCTTAACTATAATGACATTGCTGCTTCTCAGGCAAATATTTACACATGTGAGGATAAAGCATATATGTGGGTGGTGACAGGGAGAGGTACAAGAACAACTACATTGTCTTGTCTCTGCTTTGCTCAGAGCCAGCTTTAAATCCCTGCCTAGACCCTGGGCACTCTGATGACCTGACTATCCCTGCCCACCCTTTGAGGGCTCCCTTGTCCCAGGGTCCAGGACCCCATGTCATCCCCCAGGCATTATTCCTTGCCCCAGCAACTCCAAGCATGTTGGTCTTGTTATCCGATATATACATTTGATTTTTATCTATCATACTAATTGTTTTGCAATATTCGGCTGTTATAATCATACTGACTCAGCTTTCAGGCTTTCACAATAATTTAGCAGAACAATACTTTGCTTAGTTACTCTTAACTGATCTGCAATTCCCTTCAAAACCTTGCTCATACACTTTCCTTTCCACCTTTTTTTTTTTTTTTTTACTCAATTCTGCTGGAATCCGCCCTCCTGTGTTGGGTGAGAGGACATTAAGACACACGCAGGAGAAAGTATTACACAGCACTGTTGCTGTCACAAGTCCCATGTGGCAGATGGACACGATGTCATCTTCACCAGGAGATTCATTCCCAGCTGAGTCATTGCAAGGCATGTGCTACAAGGGGATCCTCCGTATGTCCTATCAGTTAGAAAGTTTTGTGGCACACAGTCTTTGAAAGAGTTCTCCCATGACAAGGAAAATATTGTCTCTTTGGAACAAACTGTGATCAGCTGCACAACAGAGCTTAGACACTCAGTCACTGCTCTGTATTTTGACACATTGGAGAAATATGACAAGGTGTTTTGCCTTCCGTCTGAGGCATCTCATTTCTCATCTAATAAGCAATTTGCTGCCAAGTCTTTAATTAGGACTATATCAGAAAACATTCTTTTTTGTCAGCAAATCATGCAACATCTGCCTGGTAATCTATCTTGCCCCATTTCCTCATCCAGACCAACAACTGAAAATAATCTTTAAAAAAATCATCAATTTCCTGCCTACTCAGAAAAAAAAAAAATACAACCCTACTCAGTCCTGTATTGTCTGACTCTCAGATGCCTCAATTCTTCCACTGTCATCTCCCTCTTGTGTTATGCTCCTTCTGCTGAGCAGAGCTGCCCTGAGCAGGGGGTGGCATGGGAGGGCACTCTCTCTGCTTAGAAAAGTAAAGAGAATTCCAGCCACCTCTGGCTGTCAGGTGGAGCTGTCAAACCTGGATGGTGAGCCAGCCCCACAGAGGACAGGGAGTGCAAAGAGGGCAGCACTGCTGCCTCAGTAAGAGCACCCACCATCCTCAGTGGAAGGAGCCCATCCAAATGTATTGCTCTCCCCCGTGCAGTGCCCCTAAGAGCCAGACACATCCCAGATCTGTGTGATTGGTATGGGTCACATCAAAGGGAAAGAAGATGCCAAAACCGCAGCTGCCCTCCGGTGCGTGCTTGAAGCAGCTGTGCTAGCAGGGGGATTCAGGGATTCTGCAATACTCTTACTTTCTCTTCCTAAAAACAGGCTGTTGGGAACATACTACGGAAATTCCCACACATGATCTGTTTTGGTATGTATGGAGATTACAGTGTATCCACAGATGGGTTTATACACATTAGGAAGACTTGTAGCAGCTTCTGCAACTGTAATTATTTCCCATCTGTGACCGTGAGACCTGAGAGGAGCAGGCTGCTGAGGCAGGCCACCCTGCTGAAGAGGCAGCTCTGCTTTAACACTGTGCTATGCACAAAGCTGGCCTATGGTTCATGTGAGGCAGACGTCTTATCCAGAGGATTTATCAGGAACTTCGCTTCCTAAGCTCTGTTGATTTATTTTGCATGAGAAGTGTGGGTGCTGGGAGGAATTCTTTGGTCCTTCCTTGCCGCTGCCTGCAGAAACAGAGGGCTGCTGTGCATCCATCTTAATTACAGTGTTTGCCTTGCAGAGGTTTGCCTTTCCAAAGCTGTCTTCCTATGACAAAGGTGACAATCTTCACTGTTTTCTTCTGATCAGGAGCCGAGTCACTCCATTACAAAGCCCATAGGAAAGATATGTTACTAATGCAGTTGCCCAAGTCCCTACAGGTTCACTGAAACAGTGCCGATCCAGTTCTTAAAAATAGCTCATTGTTGCATGCCTCTAATTAAATTAACTAGAAAATCTTAATGATAGCACTGAAAGAAGACAAACCTTTTTTTTCTATGTTTGCTTTCTTTTTGTTGCTTAGATGTCCGGCATTTTCTTCCTGTGAGCACAGTGGGCTTTGAATGGCCCTAGAAATTGGGCTGTTGAAGCCATATTCAGACAATTTCCTTATATCTGCCTACTTTAGATATTGCTGCTTCTTTTCTCCCCTTAGAACTATCCTTTAAAACAAGTAGACATTGCTTCCTTTTTTCAGGTGGCACAATATTTGTAGTTAATAATTTACATGTACAGATAGGTAGTCTAGTTCAGATCCTCAGAAAAATGCAGGTGATTGGAGTGAATTATATTCCTACACATCTTCATAAAACTGAATTTCCATCCCTGAAAAGCAGTATTTGTCAGGGTCTTTAACATCACAGGTGTGTTACCCTTAAGTCAATGGCTTTCAGCAAAACAAAGGCATTAACTTCAGTGGGAATGGGTAGAGAAAGAAAATTCCTGTTTGAAAGCTGAACCCCAAATATACAGTTAGTGCTCACTTGCCCAGAGAATGTTGTCTTCTAACTTTGCCTGAAAAATAGGCTGAGATAGAAAATAATATCTGAATTTCTCTTCATTGCATCAATAATTTTCATTTGAGTATTTCTTTCCCCTAGCATCAATCCCAAACACTACTTAAAAGCAATCTACTCCTTGCTCTGGTTTCAGAAAAAGCTGTTTTACTACTGTTTATATAGCACTGAAATCAAGTTTATACCTAATGCTATCAGTGTTTCTTTTATACCACACATGTACATAGAAAAACTTCCTGGCGAACGACTATTTCTAAAAATTTCATTACTGAAATTTCAGTCTCAAGCATTACTTCTCCTCACAATCTCCAAGTCCATTCCATTTGGGTAGCATTAATCTGCTACACAGATGGAGGCAAGACATTCCCATTATTTGCTAAGATAACTAATTCCTCCTCAATTTCGGCTGACAAGGCTGTTTTGAGCTCTTCTAACCCAAAAAAAAGCTGGCCAGAGTGTATTAGGAACTCAAAGACACAGTCCTTAGGATTAGTTACTGCATCTATGCAAAATGTTAAGTCTTTTTATTTTTGTTCTTACAGGCCTGGGAATATGGAAGATGGTAAAACTGCAGGTCCTATATTTTATACTTGATATAAAAAAGCAGTAAGGTCTTATATTGTGTGGGATCAGCTTTCTCCTGCAAGTTGAATGTTCAAAACTCACAGAGACCAGTGAGTTCTTTGCCTGGGGAAAACGTGCCTTTTACCAAATTTTAAGATAGTCTCTATAATTAGTGGTCTAATTTTGTTGTGCACAAATGACCTTACCCACCCAAGTGGGAACACAAAACTCTCATTTGCGAGCTCAAATTAGCTGAATTTGTGTCCTCAAACAAGCATACCCTGAGTCTGCTGCATACATAATATTAAGCATTATGTATGGCAGGCTCTGAAACTACAGTCAACAAATGAATATGAAACACTACAGAACTATTTTTGGTATAATATAGGTGAGGCTAGGAAAAGGCCAGAATGAAAACTTGGACTTTTCTAAATTGGCTCCAGTTCAGATCCCCAAACATGAGCAAATTCTCTCAAGAGACTTGGGGCACTCAGAAGAATTTGCAGTATCAATGAATTGCAGTAAATAAGAATATTAATATTTGACCTCACAATCTTGTCACTGCTTCAGTACATCAGGATCTAAAACTCCCCTGCTGGAGTGCCTTGAGGCTCTGCAGGAAGAAGGTCTGTAAATCCCCATGAACCAGCTACTCTATACCAGACAGAACAGAACACTGTTAAATGAAGTCATGATCCCAAAAATATTCTTGCATCACACTTACTCTGAGCTGGCATTTATAGCCTTGATATTCATACTGTGCCTATTTCTGTGTTTGTAAGCTGCCTACCAGAACAGCCCAGACACTCTGAGCCTGATCATTCCTTAACAGTTGGCTGTTCCTGGTTCAAAACTTCTCTCTCCTTTTCAATTATCTAAATAAGACTGAAGGAATGAAGAGTGGCAAAGGCACTAATTAGTGCAGACAGTGACCCAAATCTCCAGGAAAAGCTATGAGAAACCATCATGGCAAGCAATGTGTGAACCACCATACCTTGATTTTTTTCTGTGTTTCCTGCAATATTCCAGAGGGAAGCATAGTACAGTAGGAACAATAAATCCTATTCACCTGCCACAAGTGGAAGAGTCATTTACTTGTGAGTAAATACCCCAATTCCATTCTTGTCTTCACCCTTAAGAGCTACCTTCTCTACATAAGTAGAATTTGTATGAACATCAATTATTGTTAATTGATATCTATAACTAATATCTATAACTAATAATTAACTATAACTAATATCGCATTTCTGAAATTGAGGCTATTTTTAGTTCCACAACACAAAAAACTTAAAATGGGTGAAATAATTTTCTTTAAAAAGTCACAAAATGCAAAGTGAATTACTTTTTTTTAAAGTTTTTTTGAGCTAAAACCAGAGTCAAGTTTCACCCTAGGGCAAATTTCTATAAATGAGTTATAAATCTCTAAATAATTAGGTTTTTAATGAAAACAAGGCTAACTCAGTGTGAACTGTAGCACAGCAAATTGTGTCACTATAACTGTAACTTAATGGAAATCTACAGAATATTGAATTTTTTTTCTGAATATTGCTTAATTTATCAAAACCACATCATTTACAGCATATTCTTAATGAGGCAAATGCTTATCCAAGGATGTGGCAGAGATAATTACAAAAAGCACCAAGGAGACACAAAATGAGTAGGTAGAGGAATAAGTCATGTGAGAGAAGATGTTGTTGTTAATATTATTATTATTATTATTATTATTATTTTGTAAATCTGTGATACCAATGATTGTATAAGCTATACCTGTGGGAGATGGTGGGAAGAACTGAGGACAGGAGGCTAAATTGAGGGAGGGATACAGAACATGAGTGGAGAAGGCATTGTGGCTGGTGAGTCAGTAGCATCATCTCTGATGTTTTCTTCCCGAGGCATGGTGTAACTGCTGTGTGTGTAGCATTTTTAACTGGAAGCCTGAGATGCAATTAAGCAAATGAACAGCTAAACCCAAAGGCTCCCAAATTAAAGAAAATGTTGACAAATTACCTCTGAAGTAAATAGCACTCATCATTTGTGCACCATTTTATATTTTCAAGGCATTGTACAAACATTGACTAATGAAGGACCTTTTTTTTTTTTTTTTTGTTCTCCCTGGAGTTTACAAGAATTAGGGAATCTACAAATTCCTTAACAGGTCAAAAATGTAGTGCATTAACCAAGGATAGCAGAAGAAGGGACATCAAGCGATAGCTGGCTACAAGGTAGACTCATGGAAGATAAAATCTCAAACCAGCTGTGAATGGTGCAGTGCTGACCTGGTACATTAACATCATGCATTCACAGCTGCTGGTCCTGAGCAGAGAAGTCCTCCCTCCCAGCCAGGCACAGCGTGCCTGAAACATCACAGAATTCACCAAGGGGATCACAGACCAGAGAACTGCATCCAACAGCAGCTCACACCCGCTGCAGGGAGAGCCCATAACCACCACACGGACAATATTGCTCTTTCCTCTCTGGAAAATTGACCATCATCCAGAAAGGAATGGGAGATTCATAGAATGGAAAAAACTGTAAAGCCTAATGTCTACAGAGTTCACTTGCTGAGGGAATAGCCATGTTCCTGAGTATTAATTTTATGTTACATACTCTTACAATAAAATACATTAACTATTTTGGCCATGAGGGAAGAAGCACTTGCCAGTGAATGCCCTTATGATAACGTGATTTTGCAAAGGATCCCTCTGGTCTCACAATTCTTTTCGTTTCAGTTTCAAAATGATCCAGTTTTCATCTTTCTCCTGTTTACTCCAAACACAAAACTTCTTATGGTACCCTGGATTGTGGGAGAAGAATGTACTACTCCTTTTTAGATGAGGACACCAGAAACATGATTTTACCACCTGAGTCAGTTACAGAAGGTGGATGTCACTTTCCCTTTCACCTGAACAAAAGCTTATTTGATGGCTCACCATCCTGTGAGTTTGGTAAACAAAGATGTAGCACTGGTTTCTCTGCTTTAAATGGAAATCAATCTTCCCAATGTGAGTTAAGTGTGCTACAAAGAAATATACCAAACCTGACTGCTCAGTAGTTTAAGGTCTAGAAAGCCTTTGTGGATCCCACAGGAACTTCAGACTAATCTCACACTCAGCTCAATATATAGCATCTCTGAAAATGGACACAACCAGGACTGCCATGCCAAAGCCAGGCAATAGCGCAAGCACTGGAGTCTTCACTTCTGAGGAGGGTTAGGCACATTGCTCATGCCTCAGTTAGACCTGTGTGGCATCTGAAGTGCCGGAGTGTCTTTCTGGATGTGGGCATGGGTGCTAAAGATAACATTAACAACACAGCAACAGAAGCCCTTCAAGTCCTGGACTGTCAAACATTGAGTCCTTAGCAACAAATACCTACTGAGCAGCGAAGGCTGGATCACAGGAAGAGATGCTGAGAGTGTTTAAGTCATTTTGTGACTGCGTAGTGGCTGCTTGTGCAAAAGATACATTTTCAAGTGTTTGCAGTACCACAGAAGCCTTGCAGCTGGTTCTGAGTCATTCTGAGCATCAGAAAAGGTGATGATCATTATAGGAAATGATCTCCAGTTACTTCAAAATATTATTCTGGAATGGAAATTTCTGTGAGTTATTTGCTCTAGGAGGTATTTTGTGGTTATTAGGCTCATTTCTGTTGTTTTTGCAGAAAAGCACTGCCTACTCCTGCCCACGACTCTGCAATGATAGGCACAGCTGCATCCCATGAAGACTTACCAAAGCATGATTTAAAGAAAGCCAATAAACAAAACAACAAATAATAGCTCGCTCAGCAGATGCTGAACATAGTGTCTTATGCTGGAACATTCTGGGATTCTTCCTCCTTACATCACTGCTGTGAATATTCACCAAAGCTCTCACAAATCAGAGGCTTTAGCACCTAAGAGGACCAGATTCTATTATTGCAACCTGAGCCAGAGGATTCACATAGCAGCCTCACCATCACGCTGCTGACTGCTGCCAGTTCTCCTCTTTGTCTCCAGGCTTCCAGGACAATGGTCTGGTCTGTTCCTTCCTGGATAAATTTATCCCAGCTGTTCAGCTAAGAGATTATACAAGATCACATAAGTGCTTGTTGGAGATGAGGATTGCTTCCAGGCCTAGGAGCAGAAGCATAGAGGCCAAGCAGCTGGGACTACTTGCTGGTTGAAAATGTACTGAAGGTACAAAATACCAATCTTGCAAAATTTTCAAAGAAAATTTTCCTGACACTGACTTCCATTCTACTGCATTCTAATATCCAAAAGGAAATGGTAGCAGTTTCTTGACTTAGGCAATTAAGTTTCACCTGCTGAATAAAGCTTTTAAAAACAGACTGCAGTGAGTAGCTTTTCCTGGGCAAGAAGACAGCCTCATAATAAGGGCTTGCTCTCTCATATGTCTATGGTTCCTGAGAGACTACAGTTAACCAGGTAATTAAGGTGAAAAAAAGGAGCTTAAATGGTAGCCTAAACCTGTGAGAAAGGAGAATGATTATAAACAGTGCAGACCATATTAAAGAATTATAGTAAAAAGAAAAAAAAAAGCCTCAGGAGGATTAAAGTGTTAAATAGCAGCTAAATAGCAAAGAGAGAGAGAGAAGGCAGTGTAATGCCTCTTAATTTTTCTTCTTCTTTACCTTATCTTTGTAATCCAGATTTAGCAGAAATTTTTGGATGCCTGATACCCTGGTGCGTGAAAATCGGATGCATTTTCATTAGATTAATGTCCTCAACAGGGATGGGGTCAGGTGAGGGATTTTTGTAACTTCTTACTGCCAGACAGCCACTAGGACATTGGTGGAGGTCTCAGCACAGGTCTTACACATTGCTCTCCCCTTCCTTGGGAGGCAGTTCTTGCAGGAGGGAGCTGGGCAGTCCTGTGAGTACCACTGTTTATTTGGAGAGGGTAGACATGACATAAAACAATCCTTTTAGAATCTGGTATCAGAGAAGAAAGACACTCAAAAAAAAGAAGGAGAGAAGACTTGTCTGAAAATGAAGCATGGATTGGATAGAGAGCACCTTATACGCCCCTATGGCGTGGTAACCCAAAAAAGGGATGGATTTCATTGGGAAGCAGTTTATGACCACAGCTGATTTACAAGGTGAGTCACTGAAGCACATACTCTAAAGAAGGCAGTGCCAAGTAAAAACTGACTACATGTGGCAAACCACACACCAGCCCTGCCTCAAATTCATGTGTGCTGGCCATGTTCCTGTGTCCAGCCTATGTACCAAACCTAACCCAGAGTGAGACACCCCTCCTTTCAGGCTTGGCAATGCCTGTGACAAGATTTAAGCTTAGAGTCAGATAATATATCAAGTTATTTGCACTGTGTGCCTTTGTCACTTGCATGAAGAAAAGAGACCAGCTGAGAATCTGTGTTTAAATATAATTTAGCCTGTCAAGCAACAGTGCTTCTCGGTGGGAGGTGTTTAAACAGGAATCAAGGTCCTTGTCATGAAGCAGCAAGGTCAAAGACACACCACCACTGTCCCAGCCCTGCTGCCACCTCCAGGCTCTGGGGTGATGAGAGGAGGCTCCAAAAGAACAAGGCAGCAGTTGGGAGAGCTGAGGAAGCCGTGCTGCAGGGGTGGGAGCGGGCAGATGCCAGCTCCTGGGGCTTGCATTTCCCGAGGCAAACATCCCTTCTTGTTTTTCCTCTGCTGCTACCCACTGCCAGCAAGCCAGTCTGCCCGTGCATGTATCTAGCTCCAAAATCAGCCACCTCCACAAATCTTCCCCATACTGAGCTCCCAGGTCTGCCTTGGGGAAGCTGCCTCTGGGTAGGGAAATTCACCCTCTTGCAGGCACAGGGATGGGAGCAGTGCCAGAGCCACCTTTACACATCCTGCCACCTTTACACATCCTGCTGTGTATGCAGGCAGCTCATAGCTGCCTAGTTACACCAACTCTTGAAACAATCATTCCAAGAAAAACACCTCCTTAAATAGCGGTGATTTGGGTGATTTTAAAATGCCACCGCGCTGCTGCACGGATCTGCTGCCTGTGGCTGAAGTTTTCAGTACTGACATTCACTTCCCGGCAGCACTGAATTCTGCGGCTCCGGGTCCCTGCGTTACTTTGAAAATTTGCCCTTATGTACCCTCCAAGATCTATCAGCTCAAATTACTGACACAATCAAATGCTTACTGTTTTCAGTTCTGCAGAGCTGGGATAGCTGAAGAGCAAGCTGTATCTACCTCTAGCAGCATCATCAAAATTGCTAGCTAATTTATGAATTCCAATGCCTTATTATTGCAGTGAAGATATAAGAAGAAAAAAGAAAAAATTTTATTAGGTTTTATTTCCAGTACCCATATGATTCTTGAAACTATCATTGAAACAAAAAATATCCATCCCTATCCCCAAAAAAGGAACCTATTTTTCCTCAATGGCAAATTATTTTCTTAACACAAGAATAAATTGACTAATATATCATTTTTATTATAACTCTGTGTGGAAGTAAATTCTCAAAAACAATGGTCATTATTATGAGCACAAATTTTGCCACTCATGATTGTAGGCAGTTAGTAACTGAGCATCCTGGTGTAACCCAAACTTCAACTCTTTTGGCATCATCTCTGTATTTAATTGAAAGTACAAATAACAAAGCATTGGTGGCTCTTTGCGAAAGCTGGGCACCTCCTCAATGGTTGCAAGCATTGTGGGACAGACCAGGAACATTTGGTTAGAAAAACCTGGTTAAAACAAACAAGGAAAACATAACAGATGCCCAAAACCAAACACATGCAATACAAACACCCTTGGAACTAAAGCCTGAATAATCAGACTTGTATTTTCTATTTGCTGACGTGGCTTCTAGGACCCAGAGTCTGGGGTTCATTGAGCTGCCGGAGTGAGCTCACAGTTTCTGTGGATGAGAGCTATATCCTTGAATATCTCCTTTTTTAAAGGCTTTTCAGGAGGGTAGTTGCATCTAATTCATTTCTTGATGGATAGGACTCTTCCTGAGGAAGCAGGGTCTCAAACTTCTTCATGCTGAGGAGGAACGCAGAAGCAAGCTTCACTCAGGCAGTCTTGTCTCAGAGCTGCTCACAAGCCCTCCAGTCAAAAGAGAGGTGGAATTTAAGATAACCTGCCTCTTTTTACTGCCTTTCATCTTCTACTTCCCCCACAGTCTGATGGGCTCCTGACCTCGGAAATCAAGGCCCATCCAATAAGGCAATCACCAGAGCACAAGCCATCTCTCTGATCACACACTGCTTCAGAGGAGGCTGGTATTAAGCAGCCAAGTGTCTTAGTTCTGCACATCTGAGCTCACCACACTTCTTTAAAATCCACATACACATAGCATTGAGCAAGTGTGGAGTCAGAAGCAAGGACAAGGAGGAAATATCATGGACAGGAGAGTGCAGAAGAGGACACAGATGATGAAAAAATATGTTTTGGACAGGGAGGTTGCTCCCACTGAAGCTCCATGGAGGTCTGAGAGACCAGAAAATGTTTGTGCAGCTGTAGCTATGACCCACTTAGATCTGTCAAGCCTCAAGATTTACGTCTGAGGGGAATTTGTTCAGCTGATTCCTGGACTGGTGCTCTGCAGCTTGAGAGCAGCATCAAGGCAGATTTTCTCTGTCTGTATCCCCATTGAGCAGCTATATCCACTGCAGGAGGTACCAGGCCTAAGGGAGGTTCTGGCAAGGGATGGAGGCAATGGAGTTTTTCTTCCTATTGGGCCATCACTGGTTGGTACCCTCTGGTTTCATACAGCAGCCACAAGTAACATGGATTGGATTGGATTGGATTGGATTGGATTGGATTGGATTGGATTGGATTGGATTGGATTGGATTGGATTGGATTGGATTGGATTGAGCTGGATTGTGAAAATGTGGTGTCAAATGCCATCACAGCCATCTGTCAGGTATTCTGACACCTGAAGTTTGTTACCTTGAAAATGGCTGATGTCAGCCCCAGGTGAAGTGACTTGCATGCTGAGATTGCAAAGAGCTCTGATTTAATAAAATAAGGCATTATCATAGGTATTAGTAATACTAGTTTTGTTATTACAGCTTGTTTGGCACACCTTCTAGTTTTAAAGGCCTGGAGAAGCCTGACAGCTGATATGGGGATTAATGTTGTCATTTGCTATGATTACCAGCAAACCTTTCACTAAATTCATTGCTGCAAGGTAAACTGTATTTCCACATTTGCTCTTGTTCTATGGCTGCAGCAAGCTGTTAAGGTAGGACTTGGGATTTAGCTGTTTCAACAGAAACGTGGGCAACTGATTCACTGTAATTTGGCTGTCATGCTATTTGGCATTTGTTGGGTTTTTTTTCAGTGCATGCAGACAATGATTACTGCACAGGCAGAGATGTAGAGGCTAATTTTCAGGGACCTTCAAGGCACCACTCAGGTTCTAATCCACCTCTTGTCAATAATTCTTTCTCTTTTGAAATGACTGAAGCACGTTCTTCATTCACCAGGTATTAAATGAAATGTATGAGTTTGAAACTTCCATGGTGAAAATGCTAGATGGAAATAAAAGGGCAACTGCTTTGTAGTTATAGTTCTACACAGTATCAATATGCCCATTTCCATTAAAATATTGCACAGTAAAGGTTATAGGAAAGGCCATGCTGCAGCAATAGTTTGATTTGTACTGCTTTTCTCTAGAGTACATAAGTCCTGTCTTAATTTTGTCAGATGATATGCCAGCCTAGAAGAGGGTATGCAATTAAGAATGAAAAAAGCACAAATAAACAGTGCCATCTTTTGGGCACCGCTTAAACTCCACATATGTTAAATTTCAGATACAAGTAAGGTACAAATGTTACACATGGATGTGCGTGCACACATATCCATGTGGCAGGTGATTTTAGGGCATCAGCTCTGCTGTCGCTTGAGAGGTGGTGATAGGGACTCAAAGCCTGAAATTCTCTATCCAGGTTCCTGTAGCTGATCACTTCTCTGCTGTGGTATCCCAGACTCCAGCAGCATGTGGTGCAGAACAATGCCTGTTTCTGAGAATGCCTGTGCCATCTCCCTGATGGATGTAAATCCTATCAAGACAGATGGATGGCTGAATATTTCTTGTGAGTGTTTGTGTTTTGAAAAACACGGAAAGTAAGCGTAAGGTAGAAATGCAATGTTTTCATTTCTGTAAGGGGGAAGAGCTTAATATTTTACCAACATGACATCCAAATGGATTACATGCAATATAAGACTGCAAACTTTTGGGACAAGTTTTCTAATGGAATTTACATAAATGACCTTCCCCCAATGGATACAGGCTTTCTCACTGTGATCCACACTTCCACCACTGCTGGGGTTAATTATTTCAACACATTGCTGTAAGGAAAAGGAGGGCCTAAAATGAGCTCCAGCCCCATCAGAACAAGCCTTCCAAACCATAAACAACACCACCTCTGTGTCTCAGGCATTGCCTTAACTTTTTCTGAATGCCACAACAAACTTCATAGGTTTTAGGTGTAATTATATGTACATTTGGCTAAGAGTTGGGTGCTCAAAATCCCTCTGAGAATCTGATCCAACCTTGA